GGGGGGGGGGGGGGGGGAACACACACGGTATCCTAGCATTGGTGAAACTGTGGGTTAATTTAAACATGGAGGGGCCAAAAAAATAGGAGCCCGATTAAATTATTGCAGCAGCCTGTCCTAGGAGATACAGGTGCCACAGCCTCATGGCTCTCCAGCTGCAGTGGACCGACGTGGCTGCCATTGACATTCAGATTCAGCCTGCTTGCAGACGACCGTGCGCGACAGCCACACTTCACAGGACCCTGGCAGGACCTGCTGGCCAAGTCTTCACCGCTGAGGTCGTTCAACTGGAGCCAGAAAAGAGAGCAAAAGAAAGAGCATCTTGCACTTCTGGTGGGCTGCAGGCTCCCGGCCTGCTGCCCGACCCAATCAACCGCTTGCTTGCATCGTATTTCCATGAACCCAGCCTCCACACAAGACGAGGCACGCTGCCCTGGGAAGCAGCACGGGGGCGTGGCGTGCCTGTGGCAATGTGTCTTGCATGGCCTGCAGAAGGAGGAGGTAGGCATGAGTTGGGCCCAGAAACGCATCTTGCTTCCGAACGGTTCACAGAAAGACTTATAAACAGTCGGGGCGAATAGTGAACCAAGCGGGATGTACAGGGAGGGTCCAGCATGTGTCCGGCACCGCCGAAACTGTGAAGCATGGGAATCAGCAGTCAGCCCCCAAAGATGCAACCATGCAAGTGTAAGCTGTGAGACGACGTTGTACATCATTTATCCTTAAGCCGGAGAGCCTCAGCATTTGCGTGAGGCTGGTAGGGTCTGCTGCATGGTTCGTCTAAACCCCTAGAACCCCCAATAGTTAGTGGGCTGCGAGGGTGACGCTCTTCAGGCGTGCCGTGCCGGTTGCGGGTTTACTCGCACCGGCTACGCCCCACGTGCAAAAGGCTTCGCTCATCTGCGACATGCGCGCAGGGTGTCCACGTCCACGGTACCAGTCCTGCCTTTAGCCCGGTCCTGTGCCGGTCCATGCCCGACATTTGGGTGTCCGACACGACCCTGTTGCAAAGGACTCAGCTAAGCTTACATTCACGAGTGCGATGACATCGATGCCGGCATCTGCTACAGAAACCCAGCTGGCTGTCAATGCTCTAGGATGCAACCTGGTGTCTTTTGAGGTTGACATCGGCTTAACTTATTCAAGGTCTTGCAGCAGTATGGCCGAGAATGCAGCGGGAGTGGTTTCCGCTGCAGGTGATACATATGGTGGGGTGGGCGGGGGGCAGATTCACAAATTTTTGCAGCGCTGCTTGCCGGGGATGATCATGCAGCTTTCTCCCGCGACCGTGCACGGCAAAGCCGCAAACAACCCTCGAGTGCGGTGGCTGGTAGGGCTAAAAGGCCGCTGCAAAAAAGCACACAGCTGATTCATAGCTTGCAGTACATGAACCTTGCGAGTCGACTAGCAACTACCTTGTGATTTGTGCCACTGTGCGCCTGCTGTGATAGTAGGTCCGACGCTGCCGATCCATGCCAGCTTTGGACTCTTCGCGTAGAGTATTCAATCGGTCGTTGTAGCTTCTGCTCTCAGCATCTTCACTGTATCAGCCCCGAGGGCACGTGCCAAAAGCGTACATCACCGGGACAAAAGTCTCGACATATGGGGGAGATTCTCAAAAACCGTGAACATATACCGTGGAGAAGCGGAGAGGCCATAGTCCGTCTTGCGTGGCCAGCGTGGCGGACTAGCTAATTTCCTGGAATACACTGATTACACTGATGCTACTATATAGTTCTCGGCGGAGAGCCTTCGGAATCTTGCGTGAGGAGTCTCAGGGGGAAAGGGGTGCCGGTGTTATATGTTCAGTTACAGGCCGTGTGGCGACTGCGGTAGTAGTACGCATTCCGGATGCAAAGCACCAATCCTGTCTCAACATTGTGTCGCTGAGGCGCATGGCTTGCATGTATGCGATCAGGTGCACCAGACTCCTGTCTTGTTCAAAACCCGCGGTCTGCGATGCAGCCTGACGCAGAAACGCCGTGGGCATGATGGAGATGAGGCTGCCCCACCTCACAACAAATCCGAATGTGCTTCTACGATGCTTGCGCCATAAGACCCAGCATTCCTCTCCTCTGAGAACACCACGTACCGGCTCTAAGTGCGAAGGCATTGGTTGATGCGAAGGAGTTGCACAGAACCAGAGACCTTTCGTGTCATGCAGCTCGAATTAAAGGATCGGCACCCTTGATTATTTCGGCTGTCTGAACTCAAATACCGAGAATCACTCCAGCTTTCTCGGACAAGCACCTGGTACCTATTCCTGCAGCATCAAGCCTGCGCAGGCCTGACGCGGCTTCGGTGCTTACACGCATAATGTTGCGCCAGGAAGCCACCTCAGAGCTTGAGCCTCTGCTCTGAAACAACGAACTTTAGCTAGTAGGCTAGGAACATGGAATTCTGACTTTATCCAAGTCGCCCAGACCAGCACCCACCAGATGAACCGTGCGGTACCTGTGGATTGCTCAAGTCCTCCCCTTCTACTGGCAAGCTTCCCGACAGCTTGAAGCTGCATATGTCTGATGCTAAGATATGCTGAGGCACCGCAAGCCATCCAAGAAAAGGTCGAAACCCTGCGACGGACATGCAACATGCAAGTCAACTCTGAGCGAGGAACGTAATCGACCATCGAAGCTGCCGAAACCCGTGAGAATCACTGAACTGCACAGTTTGAGTCGAGCACGCCGCCAATTATGCTCCGATAGACAAGCCCCTCTGGTGTGGCATAGATACGAAGTTTCCTGGGGGGCGGGTCCTTACACCACTCGTCTGGACCGCCGTAAGCTGGATATTGCGCACTTACGACCTGGAAGCCATGTCATGCAAGAAAAGTCAACGATCAGCATGTGTGGGAAATGACTCAGAACCGCTCACTGTAGCCCTTCTCGCTGAAAGACATGACCTTGGTGCGAAAAGACATAAACGAATCAAGCAGCATGCGCAGCGTGACACGAGGATTGACTTGCACAACAGTCCTGCCTGGTAGAAGAAAGCAGCAGCAGTACTGCTGGTGCCATGCAAAAACCTCAGGCACTGCAGCAACATGCCTTCGGTCCCGTAACACGACTGAGATTAGAAGCTACACTAAGCAGGCAACACCAATGGGTTCGCGTCACTTGCTGGACCAGCCTGCTGCAAATTGCACGGAAAAGCTCGAATCCAGGGTCACTTCGCATGATGCGTGCTCCGGCATTAGTATGATTGATGTCGGCCTGGTAGTAAGACCACTCCAGCTGCGAGTGTGGCTGAGCGAACCTGAGCGAAACTTGATATTCCGACTTCACAAGGAATTTCACAAGGCTCTAAATGTCGAAGGCGCCAAGAGACATAGATACGTTGAACACAGTTGGGAAGGTATACCGACACACATACATGTACGATTGTACACCTTGCTGCCACTTTCAGGATTCAGGGTCAACCGCCGCAGCCCTATGCAAACAAGCATCTGTGCCATTGAGTACCATGTACTTACTTGCTGGAGGTTCAGGATTCCAGGAAAACTGTGAGATCTCGGACTGCAACAAGAGCAGCTTGCACTTGATGTGGCGACATCTTGCGTAAATGTTTTGCTCCAGTCGTACCGGTCACACCGCTTCTGAGTCTGAAAGTTGATGCATGCGAACAGGACGGAACTATGCTGAAATACATGTGTGAACACTCTCATACCTCTAGAAAACAACTGTCGCAAAGCGTACCTGCAAGATCGTACCCGGAGCATGTCGAGGGCTTGACTTCTTCAGGGGACAAGCACTTCGAAACGCTGCAAAGTCCGCGCCAATGCTCGAAGACCTCACACCCGCAATGTAGGCTGCCGCGTCCACGCGAACAGTGTCAAGGGCTGCAGAGGTGCTGGCCCTGGCTGTCTGCCGTCAGAAGCGCCACGTCCTTTCTGCATGCTGAAAGAAGCACAGCAAGGTCGGGTCCGTAGGCCGCTCCTTCCATCGCCTCATGGCCTCATCTTCAGAGGGCAGCGACGGACTCGATGTTCGCCGAACACACACGCGAACTGGTTCTTTTCTCTGGCTGGACGATGCTGGACGGATCTGGACGGTGTCACAGCATGTGTTCATCATCCGATTTAAATATAGCTTGATCCGTAACACGGGCCGAGGCGGGCGTGCAACACAGGAGCACAAGTGACAAAGATTGCGTTTTCGTGGCGCCATCGAGAAGGCGGCTGCAGAACGCGGCTGCAGATTAAGCCTCAGACACATGAGAAAACGCGTGCTTGCCAGGAGACGTCGCCAGTGAGCGACAGGCCTGGAAAGGATCAAGGCCAATGCGTCCTCCGAATGAAGGTGATTCAGCCTGCATGCGACGAGTCCGACTAGTAGTGCCCATCATTTCTCCGGTACGTTCAGATGGGCGATGGCGGTCCTTGCGAGGTGCAGAGTTGTCCTCTGCCTCGAACGATGTCCAGTGGGTTCGATGTATATCCTCACGGACAAGGGTGTGCAAAGCCTTTCGGAACGCGTATGGTCGGTGAACGGCAAACTATGTGCGGCTAAGGCCTGAGCGGGAGTGCTGGAAGCAAACCAGGACTGCGGCCTAAATTAAATAAATGGACCGGATGTCAAGTCATCTTATTCCGTGTAGGCCGGGAGTTCCACAAAGGCGCATCATGTGGAACATGTCCTGCACAGAACTCCCATATCAGCAGCACAGCAGGTAGCTGCAGCTCAAAAGAGTCGGCGTCTGCGAGGCTCCTCGCACTCCGCCAGAAGACCCTGGCACCTTGTACAAGGTTTGGGAAGCCTCAGATGATGGCATCGATGATCCCAACTTCGCCCAGCAAACACATGCACTGGCCTTGTCCGGTGATCGGGAATTCCTGTCAACAACCGCTCAGAAGACAGACAGACAGACAGACAGACAGACAGACAGAGCGACAGACAGGCAGAAAGACAGACAGACAGACAGAAAGACAAGCACTCTCAACAAAACCGCATTTAGCGGATTCAGCTTCCTAGCTCCGCTACGACCATGCATTGGAGACGGCGCCTTTGTCCCGCATGCCGGTGATGGACAGGCTGTCCGTCTGGTGAACCATGGGCCTGGCGAATGGAGCTTTCAGTATCAAGGACAAGGAGCTAAGGAATGCAATATGCTTTCGGCCAGGACTCATCTCCAGACTTCACGCTCTAGGCAACCTGCCTGGCTTACAATGCTGGCGATCTGTTTCTCGGCAGATGTGCGCTGTTCAAGCAGCCTCGGGAAGTCAAATCAACTCTGCACTTGAAGTGGGAACATACCGGTACTGGCAGGCTGGCTTGATGCGCTGCGCTCGTAAATCGTTCAAAGTGTTCCGGTCGTCCTTGCCAGAGAACATACTTCAGGAAAGTCGCGGAACCGAACCGGAACCGCTGAACCGAACCGCTCCGGAAGGCGAACCGCTGCAACCGGGGACAGTATGGAACCGCAGAGAACCGCTCTGCAGCCGGAAACGCTCTAACCGGAACCACGGTTTGGGGTTTGGTTTTGGATTTGGGAGTGCTTTCCAGCTACTCTACAGTACCTCTCCAGCCTCTGCAAACAAAACCCACCATCTGCCAGCACCAGCCACTCCAGCTAGCCACCAGCCACCCTGGAGCCACCAGCCCAGCTACCACCTCCAGCCCCGCCTCCAGCCCCAGCCACCCTCGCCCGCCACCCTCCAGCCACCAGCCACCAGCCAGCCAGCGAAGTATTCTTGAGCTGCAAGACAGTCTGCATGTGTATGTGGTGCGAATGTGCCGCTGTGTGTGTGTGTGCGCGATACAGCTCCTCGCTGTACATGTATCTTTTGGCGTACGTGTTGATGTGCCAGTGCGCGCGCGCGTGTGTGTGTGAGTGTGAGTGTGAGTGTGAGTGTGAGTGTGAGCGTGAGCGTGAGCGTGAGTGTGGGTGGGTGGGTGTGTGTGTGTGTGTGTGTGTGTGTGGGTGGGTGGTGGGGGGTGTGTGTGTGTGTGTGTGTGTGTGTGGGTGTGTGTGTGTGTGGGTGGGTGTGTGTGTGTGTGTGTGGGTGTGGGTGTGGGTGTGGGTGTGGGGGTGGGTGTGCGTGTGCAGCGAGGGAGGGAAGGAGGGAGTGAGGGAGTGAGCGAGCGGATAGC